GTGGTGAGAAGCCCTCCCAGTCCTTATTATGTCTAGCCTTTTTTCTGGGGCATTGTGGTGCTCAGTTATGCACTGGGCCTAAACCACAACATCACAGTGTGAGGGGAAAAAGCAGAATCAGAAATTCAGAAGAAATGTTCCTTAGCATAATAACCAGTAAGAAAGGACAGATACTTATGTAAGCCTCACAACTGTTCTTCAGTTCTATTGACAATAGCAACATGATAAATTACTCATTAAATAACTGGGGGTTATCCACCAGAAACCGGTATATTTCCTGTAGCTAACAGTTCACATGCACCAGTAAGCCACAATGCTTAGATTTTTCCACTTTTCAAAGCAAAGAAACATATCTACAGCAGAATTCATATTTAGAATTTTATTTTGTGCTCCTTGAAAATGTTTGAGTTAAAACATTCAGATGAGATCCCAGAGGCGATTGTTTTTCTTTAACAGAACAGTTTAACTGCTTTTTAAAACTACTGACAAGATTTACAGACTAAACAAGTGTAATTGTGTGCAGTTTATGTGCCCTTTTTGCTAATCTCTTCACAAATAATGCTGTACCTAGAAAAGAGAATCCGCAATAAACATCGTCTAAGATCTCTGGGTATTTTAGAAAGAACTTTTGCTTCTAAAGCATGCAATGTAGCCTATTACGTGCATGTTCCTCGAAAAGGAATGAAGTTTGTATTTTCTAGCAGGGATAAGTATCTTCTGTATCAGGTTTCTTTGTACAAGCCAGTAAATAAAAATTTCACTTAAAATGACTCTGTGCTTCTTAAAATAGCATCTAGTCACTGCAACCTCTCCAAGTAAGGATATGTCTAACTGAAGAACATGTACTTTAACACCATGTCAGCCAGCCCCCTTAGGCTAGTGTCTCTGCATGAACTCCCTTCTGCTTGCCTACACATTTCTCCCCTCAGGCTGTAGTGGAAATTTTTCATTAAAGCCTCAATAACAATGTCAAAGCACTGATGCACACATGCCCCAGAGCACTGATGCATACATAGAGGTTAAAAACAAGAATCACCATAAATTGTGGGAAAAGCGCAGTAATGCTTTGATGACTTAATGTCTCAGATGGTAGAAAAGGGCAGATTTATGTCAAAGTAGTGAGTTAGTGAGTATTAATGACTTCTAGTCATTGATATTGCTCTGACTCATTAAAAAAAGGAGCCCTGGAAACTGCTGTCCTGGCTTACCAAGAAGGTCAAAGAAGGAAGATAAGGGTAAAGGATAGCTTTGCTAAACAGGTAGTTAATAAGAGTACTACCTGAGAAGTCGTTACTCAGCAACTCTGCAGAGCACAGACTGAAGCAGACAGCAGTGCTTTGGGTCTGCAGAGTGACTGTGTCCAGTTCCTAGCCTTTGTAAACCAGAGAGCAAATAGTTACAGTGAAACACGTGTGCATAAGTAGCTCTCTGAGAATCACCATTTAGTTTCAGTAACAGCTTGCTGTGGAATTTGGACTATCCAGGATTGTTCATTGTAATGGAGTGTGGCTCCTTCACACTTTCATGCTTGTAGTCAAGATAAGAGGGTACAGAGTTGCCAAAGCTACATTCTCATTCCTTTTCTACCTCAAGTTTCTGCCTACTTACATGCTACTAAGGCCGGGTGACTGAGGGAGAGTCAAGTGCACAAATACCTTTAAAGCACTCTGCCGATTGTATAGGTAAGAAACTTCTTTTCCACCTGCAGATGCTAGTCCATTTATCTGTTCTACTCATGTGAGTGCTCTGACAAATTTTCTTTTAGCTCTAGAAATTTGTTCGTGAGTACAGTACAGATGCGATGAATGAACACATCCTTTAGGGAAATGGAGCCCAAACTTTGGATAAGGACAAATATTCTCATAGTTATGACGTTTGGAGTTAGAAAAGCTTGATACACAGACATTTCAAATGGAGTATTGCAGGAATGAACCTCATTTGTTATTCTTTCACCTGTTGTTGTTACTTCCTGAACTGCCTAGTTCTTTCAGAAGACAGAAACCTCTTTCTCTGCTCAGCAAAGTTAAATTGCTACCTGTTTTACCTCATGTGTCTTCTAAGAGAACTGGATATATGGCAACTCCCTTAAAAAAGCCATTCCCTTAAAACCTCAGTTAGGATTTATTTTTATTTGAAACCAAAATGGGAAGAGTTCTCATCTTGGTCAAGGGGACTTGATTACCAGGAGGAAAAACAGCTACCTATAGAGATACAGAAGTAGATATGAGGCAGAGGTTTACAGGTGTAACCTCTTGCCAGACTTAAATCTTGGGAGCCATGGAAGAAAAATGTAGAAGTGATCCTTCTGTTGCTGGAAGAAAATACCAGAAGTCCTTTAATCAGTAGGATAAATATAAGCAAATCAGTAGGCAAATATAAGCATTTAAGGGTTAAGAAACTATATTCAGTGAGAATTTAAATGCTGTGACCCAAGGCTGTGCACTCAGGCCTACACAAATGCAATTTTTCTCATGTGTCAAGTGCTAAGCTCCTGTAGATACTGAATGGAATGGAGCATGGGGCACTGTGCACCTAGACTGGGGCTCACAATAGCCCAGTAACTGGAAGCTGAGATCCAAAGCAACCATGAAAAAAATTACAAAGCAGAAAATGCAACTGCTTCAGTTAGTCCTTGCATGGATTTAGACACCTGTATAAAGGACCCAGCTATAGTCAGTGGGTCAATGAGTTTTTCTTCAAAGAAGGAGAAGCTGGCTGTTGTGATGCATCCCATATTTTGCTCAACAGCCTGGAAATACAAGAAATACATAGTGCCTCACCACAGGCACAGCTATGCCCTAGAGTAGTCATCCAAGTTACCAGCCTCTCTGGGTGGAAGCACATCCGCACTTTCTCTTAAATGAAGGGAGGTTAATAGCAACTCTACCATGCCTCACAAGGCTGCGAGTAGAAGAAAAGGCTGAGTAAGGCAAGTGCTGAGATGTTCTACTTGTTGCTCCTTTGATTAGTTTTCTCTTACCTTTTTAAATCTATAGTTATTTTATGTAAATGCTATCAATACTCAGGGGCAGGTGCTGAGGCCTCGAGTGCTCTACTGTGCCAGAGATTCAGATTTCCTTTTATCCTCCTTCCTCTAAGTTCATTTTTCATCTTTGGTTGCTGGCTTACACAGCTTTGTTTGGGCAGGATGAAATGGTGATGCATAAGCCTTATCAGGCACTTCCAAGAAGGTTAAACCATCTCCTAGCTGAGGTCTGTGTTGTCTCCGTTTTCCTGAGGAGTGCACTGATCAGGGGTCTAGTGCACAAAAGTGATTTTTTTCACTGGTGCCTGTTCACTGAATTCATGGTGGATTTCTATGTTTCACTTCTGATGTATTAAGTGCTTTGTTGAATTTATACTTAAACCCATGAAAGAGATAAAAGTCCCAAGCTGAGATCCTCAAAAGGACATCTCAGATGACATCTTTGATGCCTGTATGTGAACTATGGAGGCCTGAAGTATGTAGGTGTGGTTTTGGCATGAAAAAGTCTTTGAGTTTTACTCTAGGCTTGCATGGAAGTACCTCTGTTAGAACTGCTGAACAGCACACAACTCAGGTGATTCATGGCCTTGACAAAGTTCTTGTACAATACATGTCTTCAATGCAATTGCTTGAGGCCGTTAGTCTGATAGGTGTACTCAAAGTGTGTCCTCTAGGCTAGAACCACACAAAAAGCCTATTCCTGCTTATCTTTTACATGCTTCTCCTCACAGCAAATGTTTTAACTCTGCTTATTTTTCTCAGTATTCAGATCTGCATCTCCTTTCATCGAACTGCCCCAAATGCCAAGTAGTTTACATTCAACTCATTTTGGAAAAAGTCCTACAAGGTAAGGGCTGCCCCACAGGCCTGCTTTGCAAGTGATATGTCAGTCATGAACTGACTGCTCCCAACTATCCAAGCTAAAGGGAAGCTGATCCTTGTATCTCCTGGTACAAAGAGTCTTGACTGTTTTTGGTTTTTTTCTGTACAGTGTCACAACAACAAGGTCACTGTGGTGTGTTCAAAGTATACTTTACATGAGATGAATCCAGAACCAACTCTCTCCTAAATGTGACTGCAAAGTCAACAGATCACCTGAAAACCTTCCTAAAAAAAAGCCATCCAGTGCTTTTTAGGAGTTAACCTAACATGAAATATGTATTTTAAATAGACCACTTTAATTCTGTTTTCAGAACAGAGGTCTGTGCTGAACTGTCACCCATTACCACAGAACACAGGACATACTGTTACTTAGATGTCAGACTCCTTTTTTGGACTTTGGGACTCCCATATTGTGAATACACAGCTTATGAATTTTTATCTTGTTACTGTAATAGTGTATTTAGAGCCATTATAGCTTGGAGCATAATATTAAATAAGAATACTGTGTATCTGTGGTATCTATAGATGAGGAACACATATATGTGGATCTGAGACCCCTAAAAACAGTAGTTGCAAAACAGTACTTACATGAAATGAGCTCATTGTCAGCTGAATGAAAAGTCTTATATGTCTTGAAAGTCCTTCCACCTGTTCATCAGTGATGAAGGTAAATACAAATTCATGGATCCCTAACAATGGAATCAGCACAAGCGTAGATCTCGCCAATCTTGAAAAGAAAACGTTTGATTATAGCATCTTTTCCAAATGCTTGGCACAAAAATACAAAGAAATTATCCCAGAAATATTCCCTCAATATTCCCACTCTGCAGTGATATTAGTAATTTTGTGATTTCGATGACATATTCCCAGATTCAAATTTTGTATCATACTATCAGAAAAGTCTGTACAGGTGGGAATCTTGGCTTAGGATTTAAGGTGAAAAGTTAGGGACAAGAAATTGGACAGGAAGTTCACTATCAAAACTTGAGCTGCTAGTTAACAGAAAAATATTTACATAGCTAAGTAATAAGTGATGTCTTAAGAGGGTTCTTAGACTTTCCTATCACTGCTGAAAACTCTATGTAGCCACATAAAAAGTTTCTGTGGTACTGTTGGCAGTCGTCTACTTAAAAAGAATACAACCAGAGTAATTTTTATAGAAAAGAATCTTCTTCAACAAGCCTGGGAACATGTTTGCATTGATGAAAGGAGGGATCTCAAAAGAAAGTGAGTTCTGAGGAAGACTTGCAATGTGAGGAATAGCTTGAATCTCTGAAAGTTTAGCACAATTATAAGCACTAGAAAAGAGAACATAATATAAAACAAGACAATGTTAAATACAGGCACTGCTGTCTGTGACTATCATCATAACAATCTTGTATCAATCTGGAGAATAGAGCTGAGATCTTTCAGACCTTGAATGTTGAAGGAAAATGGAAATATGCTTTTTGTTACGGATTTAATACTGAAATTTAATAGAAAGTTAGTAGTGGAATTTCCATCCTCCCTCCCCCCACCTAGTCCTGTTAGACAATAAAATAATTCTTCTTAATATGGCAGGACTGCAGTAGCAGACAGATATTCACAATGCTTTGATTAAAATACTCAGAACTGGAAAGAACCGGGATCTGGAAAGCAGTTAACAAATCCTCAGGTTTCCACTGATATAACTGCAATTTTCACTGTACACTTAGCTCCTAGCAGAGCAGCCTGCCCTTGCTCTTCCTACAAAGTGAGAAGATATTTGTGCAAAGGCCACTCCAAGACTTTCTGTAAGACCTGATGTACCATTGAGACTCTGGCCAAGAGAGCCCACACCAGGGTCTGTGAGAATGCAGGGTAAGCATAATGTTTTCATTTGAATTTACAAGGCCAAGGACATTCTTGAGACAACAGTGTCTACTCTGTGAAGAAAGGTAGATCAGAAACACTGATGTCACTTAGGAATGTCCCACAAATCTTCTACACCCCCTTTTCTTTTGAGATCCTTTGTCACACTCAAGGTAAAAATGTGTCACAGCAGTAGAGGCCACAAGTACAGTGAGGATACCTGAGAGCAGAGATCTTACTGCATTGCAAAGTTCTTGAGAAAATGCCCATATACTCAGTACACAGATGCTGGCCTGCCTTTACATCTCAGATATGAAAATGTTTGTGGAGCTTGTTTCCCCAGATGAATTCCCTGTATCATACTATGAATATCTTTTACAACTGGTGGTAAGAAAACATATCACAGAATCACAGAATCACAGAACGTTAGGGATTGGAAGGGACCTCCAAAGCTCATCCAGTCCAATCCCCCTGCCGGAGCAGGAACACCCAGATGAGGTTACACAGGAAGGCGTCCAGGCGGGTTTTGAATGTCTCCAGAGAAGGAGACTCCACAACCTCTCTGGGCAGCCTGTTCCAGTGCTCTGTCACCCTCACTGAGAAGAAGTTTCTTCTCAAATTTAAGTGGAACCTCCTGTGTTCCAGCTTGTGCCCATTACCCCTTGTCTTATCATTCTTTGTCACCGAGAAGAGCCTGGCTCCATCCTCGTGACACTCACCCTTTAAATATTTATAAACATGAATGAGGTCTCCCCTCAGTCTCCTCTTCTGCAAACTAAAGAGACCCAGCTCCCTCAGCCGCTCCTCATAAGGGAGATGCTCCACTCCCTATATAATCAGCAAGGACAAAGTGGTGACCTTCTGATGTTGTGAGAAAAAAAATAAGAGGGGTTAGAACCTCTTTGTTATTTATTTATTTGTTACATACCTGTATTTGTAGTCATGAAAGCTCATTTGCTGAGCTTTTAGTTTAGAAATCAGCATCCTGAGAATTTTTAAGAAGATGCCAAAGTTAACCTTGAAAGAAATTACACATGGGTTACTTACAATATATGCTATGACACTACTGATATAGCTATTAAGGAAATGTAAGATTTATAATAAACACTTGTAAAATCTGTCAACAAATAACCAGAATACAGTTGTGATCAGGTCAGAACAGAAGCAGGATATTATCATAGCTGCAGCAGAGAGCAGAGACAAGCAGTAACAGACTCTGCTTGTATCAGCTCTCCCCAGATGAGGCAATTAGCAGAGTTTATATACCTTTAGGTCATACAGCTCTTCAACAAACCATGACAGGTAAGCAGGATGTGGTAAAAACCAGCAGTGATTGCAGTTTTTCAGATCAAGAGGCTCTAGACAGGCAGACAAGGAAGCTCCGAGAATTCTTTTACAAATAATTCACTTTGTTGATTAAATTGTGCTGACCTAGCCAAGACCAATCTGCAAATATTTTTTTCTTATGAGGTCTGCACATGCCTATGAGGTATGAGCCTTTAACTATTTCAATTCCACAAACCAAAAGCCCTATGCAAAAAAATTATCAAGGTTGCAAAGTTGAGAAACTGAGCATTATTCAGACTGATTTATGTATATGTTATGATACATGATCTTCCGATGCAAAATTCCATTTTAATTTTAACATAGAAACCTGCTTCCTCATTTTGGGGATGGACAATTGTACAGGACTACCTTTCTTCTTCTGATGTGTAAGCATTACTGCTGGAACCCTAGTTTCTGTTCTGCATAAAAAAATGAAGCACTTTTCATGCTCTTCTCCCCAGATGTGCACAGATGTATATTTAAAACATCACAGAGTGATAAGTGGATATTATTGCCCTAAAAAAAAAAAAATTAAAAAGGTAATGAAAGGATAAATAGATGGAGGTTCGAAGTGTGATATCTCACCAGTTAAAGGTGCTTTGATTTGATTTTGCATGGCAACTAGCACTAATATTATGTTAATGAGAGTATAACACTTGCTACTTTAGCTGCAACTGGAAGTGCTCAACTCTTACACCATTGACTGGACATTCAGAAAGCAAAAACCAGAAGCCAGAAGCCAGTTTTGATATTTTGTCTAGCACTGTGTATGACCCTGGGGACAGAGACAGAGCCGGAAAACAATTTCCTGAGGCAACATTGCTGCCTTAAGCTCAAGATCATACTTGGTCCTCATGAAGCTCCCTCTTGTCATTCACACATATCTCTTAACTACAGTGCCTGTGTTGCAGACTGTGCTCACCTGGTTTATTCTTCGTCTTGTGGACATCTCTTTGGATGGGAAAATATAGATTTGTAATGAATGGATATGGATATGGATATGGATATGGATATGGATATGGATATGGATATGGATATGGATATGGATGAACCTACTTCTGGACTTTCCTAACTTGTAGAATTTGACTTTTCCTTTTATTACAGTTTTGGTTTTTGCAAATACAAAGAATTCATCATAGTCTACACTGTAAGGTTCTTCAAAAGTAGAGCTAGTGTGCATATGTGCTGACGATACCAAGCTGAGTGGTGAGGTTAATGTGTCAGAGAGACAGGATGCCATCCAGAGAGACCTGGACAAGCTGGAGAAGTGGGCCCAGGTGAACCTCATGAGGTTCAACAAGACCAAGTGCAGGGTCCTGCACCTGAGTCAGAACAATCCTCATTACCAATACAGGCTAGGAGATGATGTGCTGGAAAGCAGCCCTGAGGCAAAGGATTTGGGAGTACTACTGGATGAAATTGGTATGTGAAATATTTCTGTGAAATAGTATCAAGGCAGAAGATAGCAAATTGTATGACTGCATGAAAATATAAGGTATTATGGACACACACCATAGTCCCACCTAAAAAAGTCCTGTGTTCATAATTATGTCTTCATGAGCTCTTTTGATCATGCTATTTTCATCATTTCATTATCACTGCATTTCAGATATACACTTTTTTTGCATTTGTTTAATTAAAAAAAAACATAACTCAGTCCTGTCATGCTATGTTTTTTTTTTCCATTAAGTAAATGCTTTTTCCCCACAGCCAACAATACTGTTGCTACTTCTCTGCATCCATGTTATCATAAGATCATCCTTCTAAGAGAATTTGGAGTTTTCTAGTGGTGCTCATGGTAACACTCTCCTAAGTAACTTGCTCACTGAGAAAATGAGGTAAAAATATGAGAAGTAAAAAATATGAGAAGTAAAAAATATGAGAAGTAAAAGGCTCCATCTTTGATATAGACGGAGCTGTGCAGAATTCACTACACAGATAAATAGCACTGTTTTGAGAGGTTGACACTGAAATCTTTGTTGTTTGTAGTCAGACAGAAAAGAAGCTAGGTCCATCCATCCACAATAAGAAACTTCATTTATAATTTTTACTGTCTCATCTTTTCTAATCCAATAATTGGATTATACTTGGAGAAAGAGCACAAAAATACAGGCACACTTGTGCATGGTATTAAGAACAGATTAAATAATTCTTACTGCGATTGAAAACAACATTGGTCCTCGGATGATCCACCAAATTCCCATGTGTTCATTTGTTCCCCAGCACCTGAAGAATAATTTAAAGTATAATTACACTATTTTAATGGTAAAAAGTTAGAAAGCTTATATTCATTCACTGAATACTAAACTTATTCATTTAATATCAGCTTTTAGTGAATATCACTTTTTGTTGTTGTTGTCCTACAGAACTTTTTTTTTTCCAAAATGGCAGTGAATAGTAATTAAACTCAAAGTGCAGAATGTCTCCAAGGAAAGCACTGGTCTCCTTTTCTTACTAAAAAAAAATGCTCTTCATGAACACATTTGTGCTGACAATTTGCTTCATGTAAGTGGATAAGCATTGGATGCAATAGATGTCATTTCAGGAACAGTGAATATTCATTCTACTTGATTTATGCACAAGTAAATCTGAGAATTCCTAGAAGCAGTTCAATGTAAATATACTAAAATGAAGCTGGAAATGTAGTAAGTATCAATAGATGCTGTATAATTTTAACATAATCTAGTAGCAGATATTTGTGTCAATTACCATCAAGGTCTTCCAGAAAAATTAAGCAAACAGAAAGCCAGTATTCTAAAGCACATTTTATTTAGTAACCTACCCTGTGTTCTCCAGTTTTGATCTGCTTATTCCCCAGGGGCCCACAAACAGGATAGGAACAACTGAAAAGAGAAGGAGTCAATTACAGTCAAGCTTGCGGAATGGTTCATACAAAACATAAATATGTTACAGCAGTGCATAGTGCAAAGTTAAATGCTTTTCAGTATTCTCTTTAGGATTGTACAAAAATCAACCTGGTCCTGGCTTTGCCCACTTGTAGTTCAAATACAAAATAAAATTTCATTGTGTAGTCAGACTGATATATACATATATATGTACACATACACTGCTGACCTGTTCAAATGTTCTAAATTTATATTCTTACAGTATTGAGCAAATTTCTAAACACACTTGTCCTATTACAGTTTGAAGAAGGAATAGAATTATTATTCTCTGTTCCAATGACCTGGTGATCAAAGCAACAGATGGATTTAGAGAGGTGGGAAGAGTGAGGAAACAATGAGACAACACTAACCAGCATGAAAGACAGTGGTCTTGGTGTGTCAGCAGTCTGTATGCTAATATAGCCATAACAAATATAGCAAAATGTCTCTTCAAAGGAGAATGTGAGAGAGAACAGAGAAATAAAGGCATAGATGGTGAGAAGGACCCTCTAAAGAGTAAGGTGGAGCAGAGGAGAAAGCCCAAAGGCTTAGCACTGAACAATGATGTGTGGTGTGCTTTGAGAGAAACTTTTAACAGATGAGGAAAGATGAGAATGAGTATGAAAGGGAAGGAAAGTAGCTAACATCAGATGAGGAAGAAGCAAAGCAGGAAAAAGAGTGATGCCAAAAGTTAGATAACATGTTCAAAACTGCAAGCCTGAAAAATTATCTTCACAGCAGACTAGTGTATGAATACAGGTAAGGCCAGAGAAAAGGATGCTGTAGGAAATAAGACAAGTTTCAACACAACTATATCTAGAGATGCATGAAAGGATTAAGGTAAATCCCACTCCCCTTAAACACTTCAATAATTCACTCTTCTTGGTACTGGTCTTCTCCCTTTGGTTCTGGAAAAAGTCTTAATATTATTTACCTAAATTTAACCTTGTTAGATAAAATGAATCCCCTCCTCCATCAGGTAGACTGAACTAAAGACTTAAGCACTACCTAATTCTCAGGATGTACAAGAAGTCTGATACAAAATCACTGCACAGAGCACTCAATGAACACAGCATAAATCTTACTAGGGGAGCAGAGAAGTGATAGAGGTTGGGATACAGCATGAGAATGCAAAAATTAAGAATTACATTTTAATCATATGGAGCTAAACTTTATACTTAGATCATCAGGAAAGTTTTAATTTTTTAAAATATTAACTACTTGATTTCCCTGTGAACATAAGGAAGTTGGTCTGGATTGCTTGGGATTCATCATTGGCTGTGCAGAGAAGGGTATAGGAATATATTTTATCTTCTTTTTTCTCAAGATCCATTACACTAAGACATTGGACTTGTTTTGGGAAAAGAACAACTTTCTGAGACAATTCTGTTGAGCAAGTTTCTATCCAGATATCAATATGCAATATTTGAGTATTCCGGTTTGTGTTTTGTATTTGTCCTGACAAAACATTATCCTCCACATCTCCAGTAGGCTATTTTTAAGATACTATCCTATTCCCTTTTCAAAATTCAAGAGGTAAGGAAGATGTCAAAGAGAAGTAAAATGAACTGTCTCCATTCCCTGTGATTGTTACAGAGAGAGCCTAGCACAACTTTTAGACAATTAAATGTGAATGACATGATTTACCATCAAACTGACAGAGAGTTTGCCACAGCCTTGATAATAATAACCAAAATTTTCCTTTAAACATGTAAATGTTGCAGCATTCCAACTGTAATTATTATAATTTCAATCTTAGCTGCCATTTGCTTCAGTTATTTTATTATGTTTAAGTGTAAACAACTCTCTACAATCATACATCTTTATCCTTGATAGAAAATTTTAGCAAGCACAGAAAATATGGAATAATTGGTTTACAACTATGTAATTGCCCACCACAGTAAAATTCTTCTAAAAATCACTTTTACTTATTTTTAAGTGGTCTATACACTATAGTCCACTGTCCTGGATACACAATTTTACATTTAGCAATATAATTCAATAGACATAGTAGTGTTGATCATGAACCACCTTGTTAAACTACACATTGGTAAAAGTTTTACAGTCAGAATTTTTTACAGCCATCATTCCCATCCTCCTCCTTAACTTAGGCCAGTAGTTTTGAATAAATAACTCTTGTAACAAACCTATATACTGCCTAAGAATACCTTTTTTATCTTCATTAAAAAATTTAAAGCCCTGCAAGTTGAACAGGTAGGTTTTAGATGGTTATTGGGAAACTTTGATTTTCTCCTTTGTTCAGGCACAATATAGAATTATGCTCTTTCAGTAAGTAACAAACATAATTGTAAAATTACATTACATAATTTACAAAAAATTGTTTGAATGCTTATAAATAACTGTACATTGTCTTCATTCCATGCCTGAAATATAAGACTCGAATCATGCAGTGTTTCAGATGGCCCTCTAACTTAAAACACACTTTAGAACGTTAAGGTAAGCTGGGAAGGTGAACATATAAAAGGCAATTTTTAATGTTTAGACATCTTTGCTGTGTAGGTGCTCTATTACAAAGGAAGAAAATGAAGATGCTAATAGTACCATAATATTCAGTGATGACAGAAAATAGTAAAATACACTCAGATATCTTCTTGTTACGTCCACTAGGCTGGTGTTTTCTTATGAAACAATTTACTCAACTCCTGTATCTGAAAGTCAAGCTGAACTTCAACAAATGTACCACCACTGGCATACCTTTATCGGCAATCACTGACTTCAAAACAAACTAACAAAAAAAAGAGTTATTTTTTCTTTCTTCATTATAAAGTATCCACCACTGACTCAAAAAAGTACCACAGACGCGAGAACTTGGAAACTGTTACGTACTTACCCCATCCTATCACAATGTATGCCTGTAACAGTCGTCTTTCAGAGAGTACAACAGTTATCAATAATGTATGCAGATAAATTCCTTCTACTAATAGCCAAAAATAATTTGCTCCAACAAAGTAATGCATGAAAAATTGGGCAGTCCTGCAAATTATTACAATCTGTAAAAATAAGAAACCAGGAATTATTGCTACTATATAAAAGCTCTGACAAATCCTGGCTTTCTCTTGTTACTTTAGCAACCGTTTTAAAACTAGCACATGGTTATGATATAACTGTGGTTATGATATATAACACGTCGCACAAGACTCTTCTTGCTGCTTGGGAGAGGCTGAAGTGCAGCAATCTAAAGGTTTCTACATTGTCAGAGAGTTTGAGTGGAAGTAACAAGTAGGAAAAGAGTGACAGTGTAGGTTGGGGTATATGTTCTTTGTCATGATCTGTATATCAAAATCTTTACTGATGAGCTACTAAAATCATAGTCACCATTAAAATCTTGCAGGTAATTTCACTTGATGACATGTGCAAACTATATTCCTGCAACATCATACATGTATAATTTATCCACAGTGGTCGCAAAAGAGGGATGTTGTTATTCCATTATTTAAACAACTGTAAGAAGATGAGCACGTTTTCCTAGAATAGAAAAGCCTTTAAACTATTATTTTCTCTCTTAGTGTTCTTTCACAGCAAATAGGTTGTTCAATGACATTGTCTTAAAAGCAAGATCTGTGTGCATTGCCTTGTGTCATACGTACCAAGCATGAATAAACACAGTGTATATAAATGTGTAGATTTTTTCCTAAAAACTACAAATGTAAGTTGATTTGCTTAACTGGATGTTTTTAAATATGACTATTGATTAATTTGTTGTTTCTATACAAGGATTCATGTAAAAATGAATCCATTAAAATTTATCAAATCAGAATTTTTTGTTGATCACCCCAAGCTCTATCAGCAAAATTTCAGCATTAAAAAAAAAAAAAGCTCAAGGAACAAACACCTCAGAATTTGCTGGCATATGGCAAATTTCTGAAACTGTAACTGTTACTGTCACCCATAGCACACATTTACTATTAGGAATGAACTAACAAGTTACCTCAGGACTGAGGTATAATATCCATCCAGTTTCATCATTTGGTCTTTTGGAGTAAATATTGTAGTATACGGTGTCTTTTATAAGGACTGCTGTGGCACGTAAAATAAAAGATGCAAATAAATTCATATGAATGTAGTTTCTTGTGCAGTGAAGTTTTCTGTGGAAGAAAAAATAAGGTATGAATCCTCTGGAATATATTTAATTGGTAGAAATAAAACAAAGTTATTGTTGTATTCATATTGTTGCCATGAATGGATTTTGCTTAGGAACTGTTCTTATGTTTATTACAAAAAATACAAGTTATTGACATTGGAAGCTAAGCAATAATTTTAATTACATGAACAGAAGAATGTGCATATTGAGGGTCTGTACTTTGAAAATGCATGTAAATTTATACTAACCTGAGTAAAGAAAGTATAAGGAGAGCTAATACAAGTGAGATGAGAGAAAAATAATATCCTATAGTGTACAACAGCTGTAATGTGGTAAGTAATCTATGTTCTTCTTCCTAGGAACAAAGAAGAAAAATGTGTTACACATGCAGGCATGTAGGCAGAGCTCAGAAACTTCTGAGTCCAACTTTTTTGTGTTGCAAGGTAGCCAGGGGAGGTTTTCGATGCCTGCTCCCTGTACTGCCTCATTAAATCACTGCATGACAGAGACACTAGCCGGCAGCCATAGTTTCTTTTTAAATGCAAAGGCATCCAGTGGTCTCATCTCCAGATTGCTCCTGCACAAACACCATTCCTAGTCTGATTTACAGCTAATCATTGCCATGTTACATGTACCAAATGAATCCTGGTGGCTTAATAACTGCAGAGATCAACTCATGCAACCTGCACACACAGGTGCTGTTACTATGTGTGTGGCCTGGGAACAGAGTTACAGATCAGTTGTGTCTGTACTATTTCGAGAGTCAGCTCTGTCTAGAATCATTGAAATAGACTGACTTCTGTCACGAGTTCAAAGAAAAAGAAAATAAATTAGAGTTCTCTAGAATTTCTTTGAATGATGAATAAAACCTCAGAGGAGGAAGGGGGGCACTCACACTTACTTTCCACTTTGCTTCATTTAACATTTCTTCTTGCTATGTTTTTTCCGTTTAGATGCTTATGTCATCTCTTCATATTGCTTTTTTAGCTCAAGAAAAGCTTCTCTGCAGAGGGGACGTAGAGATACAGAATATGTGACTTTCATAATGCATATTTGGCCTGCAAAGATTTTCTTGGAATCTGTCTTTTCCTCAGTGAATTCACTGTTTTCTTTGTGAATTTTCTTACTGCTCAGCAACAGGGATTTTAGTACAGTCTTCCTGCCAGTAGCTGTGTCTAACCAACTTATGCTAATGAGTAATATCTGGACAGCATGGGTGAGGTGTGCCTGCTGTTAGAAACTCTCTTGGAGAGGGTGAAAGTGCCCAGGAAAAGCAGTGTGGATGCAGGAGATTCCCATAGTACAAACATTAGTCACTGCTCCATGAAAACATTCAAACAGGCATGAACTGAATAAAGAGCAGGAGTTATCATCTTGGCTGTGAAAATTTTGCAACACCAAAGCAAATGAAATCAACTGATTCTTCCTATGTGTGTAGATACTTGCTCTGGATTATTTCTAGAATCTTGGGCCTTTCCAATAAATAGAACAAACAGTTACAAAACCACATTTAGCATTGGTAGGAAAGCTGGCTAAAGCTTTCAGAGAAATCATCTGCTGTCACACAAAATGAATTAACGTGTCTCCCACCCACAAGTTTGCAATCCAGAATGGTCAACAAACCATGGAAAACTCTCAGTACTTATGAATATTTATCACACTTGTATAAACACACTGTAAGTTTGAAAGTTCGAGTACTCACTGTATAAAGAGTTTAGTAAAAACTTAGTAGTACATGGGGATCCTGATCTAACAGCTTTTAATAAAGTAATCATTAATGTTACTCAATAAAGTAATAAACAGTAACAGTGCTCACCCAATAAAGTACTAAAAAGTAAAAAATAATCAAGACTAATAGTGCTTTCCTAAAAGACTTAATTTTGACATCACCTAAACTGAACTCTATGGAAAAACAAGCTACAAGAAGTTGAATCTGAAACTGCCGCATTCGCTGCAAGCCATTACTCGGTTGGCCGTTACCGGCAGGCAGCAGGACCAGATCCCTGCTTCACTGCTTGCACCGCCCCGCACCTTCACCCCCACTCGGTGCTGGCAGGGCCTCACAGAGAGCGTGAACCGGACGTCTTCGCAGACACAGAGCAAGGATGGGATTCCCTAAGCAGAGCTGACCAGAATTGTGTTCCTTTCATCCTCAGTGCAAAGCGCTGAGCACTGTCGAGGTGGGAGTCTCTCGTTTGCTCTTTATTCAGCTCGGGAGAGACGTTCCCCGCTGCTGACAGCGCCCAGCACTCGGGCTGTATCACACCGTAAGGGATGGCTGCTTGCACTATGACAAATACTCCAGTCTGTGACCAGCTAAATTTGAAGGGATCAGTTAAAGGCTCATTAAAACTAAAAGGCACAGGAAGTGGTAGGGAATGAAGCTGTCTAGCCGGGCAGACTGCAGCAATTTGGGTCAGATGATGAGATGTTTTGAATTTAAATAATTTCCTTGTCAAGTTGTAGTCTTTTTCAATTTTATTAGGACATGTGAACACTGGACTTTGAGCAGGAAACAATTTGTGGTATCTAAGGCAGGAATCCCCCTCCTTAATCTTTCCTCCTCCGCTTCTTCTAAATAAAATAACAGGTTTCCATTTGGTAATTTAAATGAAATATGAACATTTTTTGCAGGTATTCAGTGGAAATGTTTTATCAGTTACTCAAGAAGGGATTAGGAAGATTAAAGTATTAAACCATAATCTAAAACATACTTACATTTTTTTTGAAATGATTTTTCTCGGAACATTCTGAACTATCACGCCAAATGTCTGTGGAGTTTTCCTTCATTTGCCAAGTCCCTTCATCCAAGCAGACTCTGTATACATTTCCTACACTTCCTGAAAGTAAACGGAGGTTTAGTCTGAAAGGTCAAAATAAAGATTTCACTTTTCATACACGATTTAAAGATTTCTTCCTTAGACCACAGTAAGAGACACCACCCCACCTCCTACTCAGAAAAGAATAAACCCCACTTTTCTTTTGTCTTTAACAATATATTTTTCATATTTACATATTTACAGAATATCTTGTTTCAATCAGGATAACTGAAACTGAGACAACTGTTTTGAGAACCCATTTGCTGTGATGGAGCAGGAGCTCTGTGTGGAGACTAGACACTGAAAAAAATTGGAAGGCATCTGTGAAATGTGATCAGAAATCTCATTTCTAGACAATTCTATTTTTTCAGTGCTCAAGCTTGGCAATGATGATAAACCACAATAAATTTACCTCAAGTTTCCAAACATTTCTGGTCCAAGTCCATCTGTGGCCCAGAATAGCCACAGTCATGCCTTGGAAATGGGATCAGCTATGGCAATAGGGACCACAAGCAACCCTAACCCAAGTCCTGCAATATCTCCAGGACAAACAAACAGCTGGGCTGTCTCTTAATCTTCTTCTCCTAAGGTGCTGTGGCATTGATGAGAATGCCAGATGATACTGTAGCACAGCAACACCACTGTATTGCCCACTGTGAACACAATTAAAAGTTTCATAACCTGGTGCAATGTTATATGTCTTGCTTTTGTAGAAATTTAGACAGAAAAAGATAACAAAAAGAGTCTCCATTACAAAGATGGAAGGAAGATGCTTTTATGTTTATTATGAAGAGCTGAATTTGTTCTAAAAGGTTGGCAGAAGCAGTTGTTTGGGAGACTAGATAGAAGCTGTGTCTCTTTCTGTTTAGTAGCACAAAAAAGGACAAATGATGACATTACAGAGCAAACCATGTGTGGGATGGGCTGGAGAAGGTTAGGATAAACAGCCCATAGTAGTGTCCCATAAACTAAAGGATTCAGACACAATTGGTCCTTCCGAGTGGTATTAGAAATGCAGCTGAGAAAGCCACATATAGCTATGAAAGGCTGTGTAGCAGGATTCAGAAATATTAGGCTGCAGTCATAAGAATGTCCTTTAATTTATTCAGAAGAAAGGTAACGTTGTTTAGTTTTAGGCACTTCTGCTCCTGCAGATGTAATTCTTTTTCCCTTCCTGACAGCTTCCCAGCTCCACTCTTTCCAGGAAAAGGCTGCTTGTTTTTTCACCATACCACTTGCTGGTGGTGCAGTATGTTCTACCAGAGGACTGACTGCTTGGACTGCTGCTTTGTTTGGCTAGTCCAGTTTTCTGGGAGAGAGCGTCTTGTCTGGGGTCACTGGGGACCCCAGAAGTTAAACCTCAGAAGCTGAACCCCAAATCTGTTACTGCCAATGAAGGCCTGGCAGTATGGTTACATGATCTTGGAAATGTTCCTGTATAGCAGACAATATGGAGCTGTAATAAGCACAGATGTAGAAAAAGAGTAAATAATCAAACATCAACAATGATTTTGTGCCTCAATTCAGAAAAGAGGTGAAAAGAGGTGATAAAAGAAAGCCTTCAGACACTTGAAAGGGTGCTGAGGCAAGAGAGACCAGCACCATCTGTCCTTTAGCTGGATTCCCAGCATAAACTCGAAGAGAAGTTACCACTTTCACATTACCGTTTTCCAACCATGGCAGATATGAAGGGCAAGGAACAGAGACATTTCCTGGGGATGAATAAGGCCAGCAAACAAATTGATCAAATGTCCCATTACAATGTATTCCTTGGGAAAGAAGCAAATAGAAGTTTTAGAAAAAGGTGTTCAGACAATGGATATCATGAAAACTATTGTATACTGTTCCAGGTAACATGCAAACTATGCCAGAGTATGTACAAGATGTAGCAGATAAACTTTGTGCATTCCCTGTGAAATTCTCAGTGCACAGTGCAGAAACGGCTGCTACTCTTTTTCCCTGGATCTACACAACAGCAGCAGGTTTCACATGCTTCATTATGAGATAAGGTATTGCTCAAAACCATCCTGAGGCCTCTGTTGTCCAAATGTAACAGATTCCAGCCGTGTTCTCAGTCACTGGTTTTGGTACATGCCACAGACTTTTTGCTGTCAAATGGAAGATATTGCAACTTTCATGACCCCTGTGACACCAATTCTCAGCTTGCTGCTAGCTTCCTGAACAGTGACTTCTACTAGTCCTTGGGCAATGGTGGTTAGGGAGCTGGTAATATCTCAGACTAACTCAGTTTTAAGCTTCACAGGTATCATACCACTGTATCTTACCAGTATCTACAGTCGATTCCTTCAGCATTTTCAAGCATTCTTGTTTGTATTTCTTCCATTCAGTAGTGGTTTTTTCCAGCAGAGATCCTCTGGCCTGTGAGGGAAAATACTGAACATGAGCAAAATCAATTAGAACCTTGTGGTCTTCTAGTGGCAAGTTTCTTTCCATTATAAGAAATCTAAAAGGGGAGGAGAGGTGGAGAGGAGAGGAGAATGGAAGAAAGGTAGGTAAGCAGGGAAGTAGAGACAGAGCCAGTCCTTCTCCAGGAAATTATTGGTGAAATTTCTTCAGCTTCTGTCTTTCCTTGAGCAAGAAATATATTGCCATGGTGCTATGTTACCACAGAAATCTAGTCAACTTGTGTAAAAAATCCACACAGATACTTAATTATGAAGACAGGCTCAACTTTGGATTGTCAGTTTAATGACAACACAGTCTATGGATGTGGTGTCTGGAAATCAATCATCCCATGATTACAAGAGCTGGCTGCTCCTATGCTGCTGGCTTCTGGCTCCTTGCTCTGGCTCTTTCTTTTTCCTCACCCACCCTTTGGAAGCTTCTGTCCCCAAGCTCATTTAGAAGCTCCTAAAAGCAAGAACAACCCACTCTCAATCCACAGGGTCCTACCAGACCTATCTCCCACTCTCTTCTTTTCTGGGTGAAGATAGGCTGAGAAGACAAGCGAAGCAAAAAAGTGTGTTGGTGTCTAAATGGGCACTTGCTCTGATGGACAAATTCTGACAGATTGTATGGGAGAGGATTACTGCATTTATGAGACATGGATGGCACTGTGGCTGCAGAAATATGCAGAAAAAAGCACAGAAGTTGAGTGGTGTTTGAAAAGTGGTGTTTGAAAGGGAATCAGAGAAGAGGCTTAGGAGCCCTGCTTGGACTTGCTGACCTTGGCACTGGGAAGCAGATAAGCAAAAAGGAAAGAAATCTAGATGTTAGCATCAAAGGGTGAGATCAGGGATGTAGCACAGAGGAGAGAATTAAATTTGTCTCCACTGATAAAATTACTCCTAATATAAAATCTGCTCTGTTAAAAAAAAAACAAAAAAACTCTGAGGTATAGACAGATGTTAATAATGATTTCATATACGGTGGCTGATGTGTTTAGCATGTGGTGGACGTCAGTGACATACACTTTATCAACACAAGGCTTGCGAGTGTCTCGAAGGGTCTCTCATATTTTCACTTGCTCTCTGAAAATATCCATCTTTCTGACACACCTTTATCACACAATACTCTGACTACAGATGCCTTTAAGAAGGCCATAGCTGATAATTACATTTTAGGAAAATAATGACTAGAAATAGAAGAGTTAAATGTAAAATAGACTAGTGAAATGTTGATTTTGGCTGTTGAAGAAATGCCCAGTTATGAACAAAGCAGTAAAAAAAGGATAACACTAGATACTGCTTACTGTTCAGGATCAGTGTGATGACTTGATAATTATTTATCCAGGGAAAAGAATATCAGCCTAAGCAGTCATTGTGTAATCTACCAGCTGATCTCTGAAACCAGGGCTTCAAGAGGCCAGAGGCGGGCAAGTAGTCAAAGAGCACTGTCATTATCAGTCACCAAAAATAAGAAAATCACTACTGGTTGAAAATGTTACAAATAGTAACCACCTAATTTTGAAGAGGAGACTAAATATAAGTTTTTTAAAAAGCAGTAATCCTTATACCAAATAATACTCTTCAGCTCTCCAGGGAAAATAAATTTCACTTTATCTGGACTAGACCCTTTTGGGAAACTGCCTTTCACATGTGTGGTTGTCCTGAGGTTGTCTGAGCTCGGTGATATGCCAGGGGCTGAGATAAATAACCAGAATAATGTATGGCTGTGAATTTCACCTGTATATTTTTCTTTGAACCTATATTTGTGGGTAAAAAAGTTATTTACTTTCAAAACAAGAACAGTGGAGACTATTAGCTAGCTGTTATATGAGACCACTCTTTCAAGCATGTTTTTGCTGTGTAAAATGTTGCCTGCCCAATATTCTGCTTTAAGTCTCTCAGCTAATTTCCAGACACCCTACTTTAAATTCCAGGGAACAGAAAGGCTATAATTATTCTTCCTCTGATGGGCTTGCAAGATAAGGAGACAATATTTACAGCACCCATGAGAAAGGAATGCATGTTTCCAAAATAAAAAGCATCTCAATGTTCCCTCATATAGGCCTCAAAATACTGGGAGCCAAGAGAGATTCTTCAGACACGCCTGGGTCAATGAACCCCATTTGAAGAGGCAAAGACATGGAGATGACGCATTTGTAGAAAAGACTGCTTGATTTAAGGGATAACACTTCAGTTTCTAATAAACAAATGCATTAAGCAGCCAAGGAAATACAAGAAAAGCCTCACAGCAGCTACCTGACTGCTTGTTTGGTTCCATTTCTGGAATAGGACTCAACAGGAGTGAGGAGTAGTTTAGGCATAAATGACAGTTTCACATCACTTCTTTATGTAATTGTCAGTTTCTGCAAAGCTGCAGCCGGAGTCAGATAACCAATACCTGGTTACTGTTGATGTAAATATCTGAGACTTGCTTGATTTTCTACCATAAAACTTTCTGATGAAAAAAACAAATTAAGCCTATATAAAATTGGAGCTGAACTTCCATATTAAGAGCTATCAGCTGACTTCAAAAGTTAATTTGAAATATAGTTAGAAGAACACATAAAATATTTTTGATTATTAATCAAAAAATGTGCAGAGGATTGGAAATTAACAGGGGAGGAGACAATGACCAGTTAATAAGGACTATTTGGATCACAGAGTAACATGAACTTCTCTGCAGAACGTGTACTGTGACAGACCCAATGCAGTGTTTTACTCCTAGAAGCCATAGCTGGAAGACGTACGTCAGGACTTTTTTTGAGAATCTATATTCAGTTGTAGAAATTAAGAAACATGATCCACCTGTAGTCAATTTTGTAGTACAGGAGACTATTGACCTTTCTGAAGTTGTGCATACAAGGAAGGATGTTGAAAAGGAGTACAAGACAGTATTAATGAGTAGTATTTGACTCTGGTGCAACTCTGTCTGGATAGTAGGACTAGCTCTGATGGTCATATCTCAAAAGAGACAGTGATAAAGTTGCAAGTTGTAAGGAAAGTGCTGGAGTGGCCTCAATTATTAAACTAATAGACTAAATAAATGCCATAGATTTATTTTATCAAAGACATGATAAACAGATATTCAATGGCAAACCATGATGACTTTAATGGCAGCAACTTGTGAATTAATTGCCAGCTACTTACACAAGGACTACCAAAAGCAACTAAAAAACGTAAGCTTGCTGTTTATAGGTGACTATTCAGTCTGCAGTAGTCTCCATTCTCTCTGGGGAAAATCTATGAGGATTTTATTTATTTATATGATATTAGAAAGATAACATATCTGTAATAATTTATATTATATTATATTATA